AAAATGCTTAATAAAGAAAAATATATACTGCAGCTCTTTTTGGAGCCCAGGTATTTTGGTAAATCACACCTTTTGGCTTACTTTCTCCTAGGTATTTTGTTCTACATCCTAAAAGGCACAAGGCTTAGCAAAGAAACAAATAACAGTTACCCCCTGCCATACTAGTCATCTCCTATGACCCACAATTCTCCCCTCAATCTGCAAGTGACACCCAAGGATATCACTTACCTCCTATATCTTCTGATAGCCTTCAAACGCTGGTGAACGCTAGTACAGTGGATATTTCTCTTTTCTAATTCACACTGTCTTCTACAGCCATAGTGTGGTTCAACTGAGTTTTGACCTCACATTTCAGGGAATGGGAAGTACTGATGAGGGAATCTTGTGTTATAAACTATTGTTCTGCACAACTTTTAGCATGCCCAGAGGCGTATACGCAACTAATCAGCATAAAAACTGTAATTTAAACATACGTCTTCAGAAGCAACATGAGAACTAAAAAAAGTCTTAAAACAGACTTCCAAGAAACAGTTATAAAGTCCAATTTTAGGAAAAAGACATGGTCCAAGTGTTCTTTGCACTAACACAGTAGGCAAGCCAGGTTGTTTGGGGCCATTTTACTTAAGAACCTGCCCTGTACTCCTTTCTTAAAGTAAGTAAGTAAAGAGGCACCAAGGTTAAATACACTTCCCAAGACGTACAATAATCAAATCAATCAACGTAGAAACATTTAAAATGAAGAAAGAGTACAAACAAAAAGCTGCTTTAAAACTCTAAGTAAGACAAGCAAGGGGCCGGGCCAGATGGCTCCTGCATGTAATCCTAGCACTTTGGGAGGCTGAGGCGGGTGGATCACCTGAGGTCAGGAGTTCAAGACCAGCCTGGCCAACATGGTGAAACCCCATTTCTACTAAAAATAGAAAAAAATTAGCCAGGCGTGGTGGTGGGCACCTGTAATGCCGGCTACTCGGGAGGCTGAGGTACGAGAATTGCTGGAACCCTAGGGGCGGAGGTTGCAGTGAGCCCAGAACGTGCCATTGCACTCCAGCCTGGGCAACAGAGCGAAGATTCTGTTTCAAAAAAAAAAAGACAAGATTGAATGCTCCTGTTGCTCAGGAGGCTAAAGCAGGAGGATCACTTGAGCCCTGGAGTTCAGGCACTCTAAACTATAGCGCACTATAGCACATGATTACATCTATGCATGCCAGCCTGGGAATCACAGCGAGACCCGGAGACCTCATCTCTAAAATGAAAAAGAAACAATCTCTAAACCACTCAGTAAGATTTACTCTGGGGCAATTAACAGACAACCACATACTCAGTTTGCCCCTAGTCCTTCCCCTCTAAACTCAAGGGATGAAACGGAGAGGTCTTTGTTGGGGGGTGGAGAGGGACAATAAAACGTAAAACTATATACATCTATCTAGAAAGAAAGTCGCTTATCTCTGTCTTAATGGACTTGCCAAGAATAAAAAAACAGCCCCTACCCATCTCCCCAGCAGCTGAAAAAATATAAAAGGAATAAGCATTACTCTTTAAACATGGCGTTTACTATTACTATTGTTCGGAAAATCCAGTGTGGATTAGTTTGGTGTTTTTAAGCACATTTTAAAAATTGCTTGTCTAGGCTAGGCGTGGTGGTCCATGCCTGTAATTCCAGCACTTTTGGGAGGCCGAGGCAGGTGGATCACTCGAGGTCAGGAGTTGGAGACCAGCCTGGTCAACATGGTGAAACCCCCATCTCTACTAAAAACACAAAACGTAGCTGGGCGTGGTGGCACACGCCTGTAGTCCCTGCTACTCAGGAGGCTGAGGCACAAGAATCGCTTGAACCTGGGAGGCGGAGGCTGCAATGAGTTGAGATGGCACCACTGCACTCCAGCATGGGCAACAGGACGAGATCCTGTCTCCAAAAAAAAAAAAAAAAAATTGCTTGTCTGATATAACAAGGAGCTAAGCTTTAATCACAAAGGGGCCTAATTAGAACCACTCAATACTAAAATGCCTTCTCAAACAACCACAACACCCCTATGTTTAGAGACTACACAAATCAGGTAGTAACAAACAGAAGGAACCTAAAACTTACTTTAAAATGCAATTAAAATCTGCGGTCAACTCAATACTCTTCAGAAGATGTAGAGACAATGGTTACAATGTAGCGTTACTAGAGATGGAAGAGCAGCCTTAGTGGCAGTGAAGAAAAAAGTTTAGTACAGTTATTTCACTTTCTTCTTACCTTGATATAAGTTCACAAGTGAACTAAAGGCCTACTCATTTTTTAACTTCCAGAATTTTCCTCACCAGGAAACACTCACCTACCAAAGAGTGCTCTGCAGGTTTAACCAGAGAAATAACATGTGTAGGCAGAAGGAAAGAAAATCAGACAAAAATTTAACATCTCACGCTGGTAAAGCACCAAAGTCAAATACGAATGTTCTGAATGTGGCTTTCAGAAATGATGCAAGAAAACTTCTAAAATACTTCACTTCAGTAGATTCATATAGATGGAAAGACCGAAAATCCCACCCTACCACAAAGCTCTAATAATTCTTAACTGATCATTCTTTTAACTAGTCACAATCACAATCACAGACACTTGTATATACTCAAATGAGGTGGTCATCAGAGACAACCATCTTCACCATAATACAGACATTAAGAACCTCTGTAACATTTAATGTTTCCCTCCAAGTAGTTCATAAAATAAAGTCAATCACCTCGAATTATGAGGTACTAACAAATACACCAAATATGCTAAAGGTCAAAGGTACGGCACACTTTGCTGCATAAACCTAGTGGAAACCCAATTCAGAATTTCACGACTGAAGGTAGTTATTCCACATTTATAATACATTTTTTAAATTCCCAAGGGATGAGCATTTTTACCTTGCCTTATTTTTAGAACTACACATCACACTGCACATATCACATGACATGATGTAACTGTTAGCAAAGAAAATGGTCCAAACCATTGACAATGTACACGGTAAATCAGGATCAATGCATACTCAAGAATCACATTTCATATTTACTTTTTTAAAAAAAATAAGTTTCTTAATTCACAATAGATTTTTTTAATTGGAAAAATGTCTAGTAAACTATGTAGAAAAAACAGAAACATACTTTGTATTTTATAAAATAGGAATTTACCCAATTATGGGAAAAACTGATATAAAGAAACAGATAAAGGAATAATATACTTCTAAAACTACAGGATTAAAAGTAAAAATTTTCTAGATCAAAACCGAAATGCTAACAAATAAAATTAGTATTAGGCAGAAAACAATTACTACTCAAAAGTATTCACTGTTGATAGAAGGTTTAAAAAACAGTTTTAACTGACAACGCCTGTAGACAATTGAAATTTTCTAAATTGGTCAGACGGTATGCTAGAAAAGGAACCAAGTAGAGCCTATAGAAAAGAGGAAAGGGAAAACACACCCACTTAAGCCTTTGTAAATAGTGGTCCTTTAACTGACCCAAAAAGCAGAGAAAACAGAAATTACAGACCACCCTGACAAACGGAAAACATATTCTAACGTACTAGTTTCCATACTTGAAAGGACTTTCAAGACGAAGTTCAGTAGCAATCTATAACTATATCATGATTATGCAAGGCAAAGATTATGTAATTTTATCGTTTATTTTAAAACGTTCTACGACTCTAAAACTAAAACAAGTAAAACGTTTTGATCTCTCCAAAGCGAAGAGGAAAGGTTCCTCTGAGCTGCAATTTAAAAATATAAACACACACCTCAAAACAAACAAAAAAACACAATGATTGCTAGCCACGTGACAAAGGAGATGGCAACACCAGGATTGTGAATGGAGGGGAGGGAGGCGAGGCTGGAGGAAGAGAGATTTCTCGGAACTTTGGAGACCGCGGGAGTTGGTCTGTCGACCCTAGGGGCACTAAACTCCAGCCCCTACGAGCTGTGCTTCTAACACCCTCAAGTACAATTTTATTAATAGGTCACAGAAAATGCTCCAGTGACCTCCAGGATAAAGGGGGGTGGGGGGGACCGAGGAAGAGGAAAGAGCAATTTAAAGTGGCGCCATCATGTCACTCCTTCTCCCCTAAAGCAATCAATAAGCAATAGTTAAGTAACACGTTTCTCTACAAATCCACTTTGGGATCCCAACAGTGGAAAACAAGAGGATTTTTAAGTAAAACACGGGAGTAGGGTTGTTTATCGTATGGAAAACAATTAAACTACTTGCTAAGAATCAAAAGACCGTCAGCCGGAAAACAGGCCCCCCAAAAGGCAGAAAGATTCCAACTCACTTAAAAGCAAATAAATGTCTCTTCCTCTTTAGTTAAAAAAAAAAAAGTCCGCCTGAGGGAGACTACATCTGAAAACGTAAGTGACCTGAATTTACAGGCAACAAAAATAATAAATGAAACAATCAGAGTTGTGATACAAACCGTGCAACGCGCCAAGACGTGTGTTTCGAGCAAAGAAAGGCCTTTTGCAGTCAAGAGAAGTTCAAAGCGAGAGCCAGAGTTTGTTTGGGGGGTTCTTTTACGGGAATAAATCATGTTCTCCAGGCCGCCTTTTTAAATAGAACGCCAAAGGAAAAGCTGGCGAACGAGGCGGCAGCTGCTGGGGAAGGGCCCCCGCACACCCCCGCCCTTGGGGCGACTCCCAGCCCGGACCCGCAGCGGGGAAGCCCAGAGAGGCCATTTAAAGTTCCGGGGGTTTTTTCTACCCTGCCCTGCCTTTCTAGTTACAACTAACAAAGAGAGAGAGAAATGGGAGCCACAGGGAGAGCGAGGAGAAGGAGAAAGGGCAGCAGGAGGAGGAGGAGAGGAGCAGCAGCAGCACCTACCACGTGATGGAGGAGCGTAGCCCGGGCGGATTCAGCCCCACAAAATGGGCGCAGTTTGCAAACAGCCCCCCGGCCTGGGCGCCGAGGGCCAGCGGCGGGCGGGGGCGCGCGGCGGCGGCTCCGGCCCGGGCCCGCCGCTCTCCTCCCCCCGGCGCCCGGAGCCGCCCTGACTTTCCGGGCGGGGGGGGCGAGGCGGAGGGGGAGGGGAAGGCGGCGGCGGGGAGCGGCTGCTTTTTCTTCTCTTTCGGGCCCTTTCTCGGCCTTCCTCCGCACCGACAGGGCCCGAGCACGGCCGGGAACCGCAGCCCGGCCGGGAGGGCGGGCGGGCGGGGGCAGAGGGTGAAGCCGCCCCCCCGCCCCGCACAAACAAGCACCGCCGTCTGCAGCCCGAACCCGCACCCAGGCCGCCACCCCCGGCCGCCTCTTTCCAGCCGGGGAGCGCGCTTCAGCCGCCCCCCGCGCCGCCGCGGCGAGACGAGTCGGCTTCGCTACGGTGCTCGGTTCTCCCGCCGGCTCTGCGAGCGGTGGCGGCGGTGGCGGCGGCACTGGGAAAATGGCGGCCGAGCTCCTTTTCCCTCCCCCCCCTTAATCTGAAGCGGAGGGAGAATGGAGCGAGCGAGCGAGCGGGCGAGCGCCGGGGACACGGGGAGGAGGGACAGCAGCGCCTCCGCCGGCTGCGGCTGCGGCGGCGAAGGGCCGCTCCACCCCGGCGCGCCGCCAGGGGGCGCCCGCCGCGCCACCCCCGCGGGCCGCCAGGAGGCGCGGCCGCCGCCGCCTCAGTCATGGCTCCTCGCCGTGGCCGATGTTTTTGTACCTCCATCTGCGGAGGCCGCGGCGCCCGGCCCCAGCTGCCCTGGACGTGCGGCGACGGCACGCAGCACTGCGGCAGGGGGGAGCCAGCCCTCGCTGCGGCCGAGGTGAGTCTAACCTGAGGCACTGACGCCGTCACATTCCCTCCGTGCTGGGGCCGGCCGTGCGGCTCGCCGGTTGAGGGGCAGGGCGGGCCGGCGCCGCGGAGCGAGAGGACGTGAGCGAGGAACTGTTTGCACTGTGTAGTAAAGAGGCTAAGGCCGTCGGCGCCACACTATTCCAAGGGCTAACCCTGCAGAAAGCTCCCTGACCAGTGAAGCGGCTTCCGCCGCCCGCCCTTTGTCCCTAGCAGCCAGCCTCCGTACACTGCAGCACGGCTGGGCACTAGCCCCAGCACCGCGCTCCGCAGCCACCAGAGTTGGGCGGGGTGGAGCGGGCTTGGGGGGGCGCACGTAGTCACTGCGCAGGCCCAAACCAGGGCCCGCGCCGGGCCAGCCCGGGAAGGGGCAGCCGGGAGCCAGAGGGGAAGTGATGGCCCCGCCGGCGCCGGGCCCGCTGGGAACTGTAGTTTTCGTGAAGAAACAAACGTCTTGTTTTGGGTGTCATGGCTTGGCAGATCCGCCAAAACAGGCAAATGGCATTACACAATGAGTATTTATGCTTCCTGCCGCCACCAAAAGGAAGTTCACTGCCATGCTAAAAGTTTAACAAAGAATTCCATAGAGAAACACAAATCTCACAACAAAAAGCGAACTTCCCACCTCGTTACCAGAGTTGATTTAAAGTGGTGGCACCTTATCATTTCTCATGACCAGTTTATCAGTACAGAACTTTATATTGTCCCCAAAATAGGGCCTTAAAATAATGGAACCTTTCCTAGACTTAAAGAATTCAGAAACATAATGTAATACAAAGTGTAATTCTACCACCCTTTAAAGAAAAAGTTGCCAAAAGATGAGTGCAGTATCTTGAGATTTAAAAGACTAATCTAGGATTCATCAAAACTAGCTTAAATGACTGAAGAAAAAAAATCGTTCAAATCATTAAATCATCAAATTCGGCAGATAAGAAGGGTATGTATGCTCTACTACCAAAAAGGAAGACTTTTGTGGCTTACCAGAACCAATATCCGGCATTATACATCACTTCTGCTTATCAAAAAACACCCTCACAGTCGTTATAGAACGGTTTTAGTCTTCCCACAAAGTTACACTACCTCACCTGCCCCTGCAACATCTGCACCTAGGTTTCTGCGAGTTTCCATTTGTACTCTTAAAATCACACTCTCAAGCATAGTCATGGTTCTCAAATATCAAAAGCAGGCAGTTTAGAGTCAGGGTCAAATTTATACAAACAATAAACTAATATATGTAAACATATTTGTATACACATCCAAAAGAGGTCTTTAGTCTTGGATTTTTAACTTACAACCCTGGGGAAAAACTTTAATTGACTTTTTTAATGTACACACATACACATATAAATAGTAATTCCACAAAATACAGCAGAAGGGTATTGGACCAATAGATGGCGAACTAGAGCCCCAATCTGAGGCTTCTGAAATCTAAATTAGCAGAATGAAAAACACCAAATAAGGCAAAGCCCTTTGCAGCGTATACTTAAATATTAAATTCAGACACACCATAACAAAATAATCCTACTAGTGCTCCAAATTTTTAAGACTCAAGTGTCAGATTTAATTAGGCAACCAAATAAGCAAGATTATATGAAATACATTTTTCTAATGGATTAGTTGAAAAGTGGAAAATGCTCATTTTTAAAACCATGCATTTGGGGGAAATATCAATTCCAGCTTCCCCTTTCTCTCATTGCTTAGTGCAAAAGTCAAGAGTTCACAGGGTTTACGGCACTTAAATCAGTCAACCTGTTGTATATTCTTATCTAAAATCAGACATCTTTCTTCCTAGGCACCAACTTTTACTTTTCTTTTTCTGACAGGGTCCTGCTCTATCGCCCAGGCTGGAGTGCAGTGGTGCAATCACAACTCACTGCAGCCTCCCAGGCTCAGGCAATCCTACCTCAGCCTCTTGAGTAGCTGGCACCACAGGCATATGCCACTATGCCCAGCTATTTTTTTTTCCATCTCTCTTTTTTTTTTTTTTTTTGGTAGATACAGAGTCTCCCTTTGTTTGCCCAGGCTGGTCTCGAACTCCTGGACTCCAGTGCTGGCATTACAGGCATGAGCCACTACACAAAAATCTTATGAAGAGAAATAAATTTTCTTAAATTTCCCCCCAAAAAGTAGTGGATGTCCAAAAGGCTGATTGAAAACACCTACACACAATATAAAACAAAAAAAGATTTAAAGAAAAAGGCCTGGTGCGGTAGCTCACTCCTGTAATCCCAGCACTTTGGGAGGGTGAGGTGGGAGGATCACTTGAGCTCAGGAGTTGGAGACCAGCCTGGGCAACATAGTGAGACCCTATCTCTACAAAAAAAATTTTTAATTATCCAAGTGTGGTAGCATGTGCCTACAGTCCCAGCTACTCCAGAGGCTGAGAGGACTGCTTGAGCCTGGGAGGTTAAGGCTGCAATGAGTCATGATCATGCCACTGTAGTCCAGCCTGGGCAACAGAGCGAGACCTCGTCTCAAAATGAAAAGTGATTTAAAAAAAAAAAAAAAAAACCAACACATTTCAAATCACTCTTGGAATAGTCATGTTGACTCTCCAATATCCACTCTATTCTGATTAGTTTTAACCCATTCTCTTTGCCAATGATTGGTTAGGAATGGCCATGAGATATGAGTAGAAGTCCCCTGGACAGCCTCCAAAAGAGAACTGTGAGAAAAGGTTCTTCAATCCTAAAAATGATGAAGGAAAAAGTCCCTCTTCCTCAGAGAGTGACACCTCAAAACTGCTACAGTCACCTTTGCAGCAAGCCTGAAGATACCACCAACATCAAAGGGAATAGAGAGTTGGCAAGAAACTTGGTCCGTTGTGATAGCATTAAGCCACTGTGTCAACCAATCCTGACAATCTGCATGACTTCTGGATTTCCAGCCACATTAGAACAATGTAACAATAAACATTTATTAATTGTTTAAGCCAATTTGAGTTAGGTTCCTTATAAATTAAGTCAAAAAACAATGATTAAGTTCTAATGTTTTTTAGTATTTGTATGTTACTTTATGATTACAGTATTTTATATAACTAATCTTATTATTTCTTCCTCAGAAAAGACATTCCATGGCCAGGCACGGTGGCTCACACCTATAATCCCAGCACTTCGAGCCAATGTCAGAGTATTGCTTGAGCCCAGGAGTTTGAGAACAGCCCAGGCAAAACAGCAAGACCTCATCTCTTCAAAAAAAAAAAAAAAAAATGTAGCCGGGGGTGGTGGCATACGCCTGTAGTCCAAGCTACTGAGAGGCTGAGGCAGGAGGATCACTTGAGCCCAGGAGGTCAAGGCTGCAGTGAACCATGATCACGTCACTGCACTCCAGCCTGGGCAACAGAGCAACACCCTGTCTCAAAAAAAGAAAAGAAAAAGGAAGGGAGAAAGGAAAGAAAGAAAAAAGAAAAGGTATTCCCTCTTATACACAACTCTGTACCCATCTATCTTTGTCTGTGTTCTCTCTACCTAGAAAAAGAGGACCATCCCTTGTTACCACCATTCCTTGTTCATTCCTCTCTCCAATCCACCTACAACTTATGTTATCCTCTTATATTCCACCACACCACTGTTATCATCTACTTATTTCACTTGACAATAATGTAGGCCAGGCGCGGTGGCTCACGCCTATAATCCCAGCACTCCGGAAGGCCAAGGTGGGCATATCACCTGAGGCCAGGAATTCGAAACCAGCCTAGCCAACATAGTGAAACCCCATTTCTACTAAAAATATAAAAATTAGCCAAGCATGGTGGTCCACACTTGTAGTTCCAGCTACTCGGGAGGCTGAGACACGAGAATCACTTGAGCCCGGAAGGCAGAGGTTGCAGTGAGCCAAGATCATATCACTGCACTCCAGCCTAGGCGACAGAGGGAGACTCTGTCTCAAAAAAGAACCAATAATGTACAGAGTTGGCACTACATTACCCTTGGTTAAATGCTCTCTGTAATTCCTCTGAGGTTGTTTTCATATACCAGTCTTGCCACCTCAAGCCATCCTGAAAGCCCTTGCAGGCAGGAACTGTGGTTGTTCTAATTTAAGATCTGTAACTCTCATCTATAGATAATAAATGTATTCCAAAAAGGCACTTTCTACCTTCCCTACCACAGGCCTTCTAAACAAACCAGAAATTCCTAAACAGAATAATCTCTCACAAATTCAGTACCTCGTATGTCCAAACTAATCTCAAAAGAACAATGAATAATTTTTTGTACTTAAAAAAAAAGCAATTATTATATATTAACTCAGGACAAGTCCTAAAGCCTAGACGATTTGGTTTCAAAAGCACAGGGACCCATTTTTTTTTTTTGTTACTTACCTAGGACCTAGCCCAGGGCCTGGCACAAAAGAGACACATCATAAGAACTGACTGAATAAATGAAAAAGGTAGAGTGTAGTACTTAATCACACAGGACCCAGGGTAGCCCCAGATTCTAATCCTGTCTCCCTCACTTGTTATTTGTGTTACTTTGGGCAAAGTACTTATTCTGCTCTGTAAAATGGAGATAGTAATACCACGTACCTCTTAAGTTTAACTATTATTTTTATTAGTGAAAGAAGCTATTTTCCACAGTTCTAAACTTGAAAGGTTAAAATCTGAGTTAAGCAAAAATCAGCACCTCTTTCCTAATTCAAACTTCAAATACCTATCTACTTAGGACTTGGACCTAATTTTAAAAAAAAGAAGAAAAAAAGCTTGGACGTGGTGACTCGTGCCTGTAATTCAGGAGACCAAAGCAAGTGGATCACCTGAGGCCTGGAGTCTGAGACCAGCCTGGGCAACATAGTGAAACCCCGTCTCAACTAAAAATACAAAAATTAGCCCGGCATTGTGGCACATGCCTATAGTCCTAGCTACTTGGGAGGCTGAGACAGGAGAATTGCTTGAACCCAGGAGGTGGAGGATGCAGTGAGCCAAGATCACGCCACTGCACTCCAACCTGAGTGACAGAGCGGGACTCTGTTTCAAAAAAAAGAAAAAAAAAATCCCTGTCTAGAGTCTAGCAAACAATGTTTTCATTCATGAACTTAGATAACACTATACATAAAAATACTTTTAGCTCCCTAAAAACATATTCTAATTCTGAGAACAATTACTTACAATCATAAATCTAATTAATGCCACATTAAATACTTAAAATACATTTAATTCAACAAAAATCTAGTGAGTACCTATTAAGCTCAAGAATTTATTCTAGATATCACAGAAATGAACACATAAGCCTATGTAAAAACCAATATTAAAATTATGAAAGAAACATCTTTAAGCTGAAACTGAGGCATGTTCTCACATTAATATTTAACCAGCTAAATATTAAATAGAAAACCAGAGTAAACTGAATCAAAGTGAAGAAATTTAAGTCAAAAAATTTAGGATGTAGAAGGAATATGTTCAGCCGCCACATTTTATTAGTGTGAAAATGAGGCCAACAAAAGCCAGTTAAGAGACTGCCAAAGCCTCAAAGCTGGGATCAGGGTCTCTCAGTCTTCAATTCTCACTTTTCCCACTTCTAATTCACCAGTGCTACTCACTTGGTGAACTGGAAGTGCAAACATGCTAAAGACATTAAACCTAAACAATACTACCTATTTCACAGTTTCATAAGTATAAAGATTTGACCAAATCCAAGTAGAAGAAAATCCTCATACTGATTATAATGACTACAAAGCTCAGAAATCAAGATTTTTTTTTCATTAAATGGAGGCCATAACTGATTCAAAATATCACAGTATTTTTATGTACTGAATCCAGTAGAAACAAACTTTCAGTAAGATTAAACAAAAGCATTTCATAAATGGCAAAGTATTACAAAAATGCATAGCATTCTTTCATTTCAATCCAACCTAACAAGATATTTTCCTCCTCATACTACTGATATAAATTGCAGGATTTACATAAAGATATTATTTTACCATCTCACCACAGAACTGACCCAATAATTCATACAAAAGAAAAACTAATTATTAGGCAGCCTCCTGATTTAACTGTGTTAGTAATGAGAACACTACTGTTATAGGTTAAACCTAAATGTACTAGTAAATCTAGAAATAATTTATTTTGGGATAATTCGGAAGACAGCATTAAAGCTCAACTGAATACAATTATATCACTGAAAGAAACAAGTCAGGTTCTCTCAGGCCATCAGCTATTGTTAAAATCTAACACCCAAGGTTGTTGGTCTTCTCCACAGTGGTGGATTTAATAGCAGCTACCAGCACTCATTTCTAGTGCAAGCAGTTTAACCAGGATTTTATACGAACATTTTAATAAAGTTCCTCAATGAGTTTACATACACACACATACACACACACACCCTGATTATTTTGGTGAATTTTAGTTAATTCTAATGCTTCTAACTTTAGTTTAGAATATTTTAAAATTCTCAAATAACTACAATGTGTGGTTAACCCTGAAAGTTCAATGACCAAACATAGAAGGAGCATTCTAATATACTGATTTTGCAGATGAAGCAATCTACGCAGGACCCAAATGTTTTATCAGGTAATGAAGTTGAATGTCAGAATTTGCCCAAAATGTGCCAAGAAACTACCTGAGTTCTTTTCCAAAGGAAACATAAAGGTAAATATGCAGAACTTCAAGGCAGCTGTGAGCAGCCAAGTTGTGGAGGGCCTGATAAAAGTGAGTCCAAAGGAAAAATGTTCAAAGAGAAAAGGAGGCAGCAGGTGTACAAGGCAAAACACACCTTAAATAATGTTTTTACAGGCCAGGTGCGATGGCTCACACCTGTAATCCCAGCACTTTGGGAGGCTGAGGCAGGTGGATCACAAGGTCAGGAAATTGAGACCATGGTGAAACCCCGTCTCTACTAAAAACACAAAAAATTAGCCGGGCATGGTGGGGGGCACTTGTAGTCCCAGCTACTTGGGAGGCTGAGGCAGCAGAATGGCATGAACCATGTGTGTGTATATATATATAAAACGTCAGTTACTGATTCTAAGTTATGATGCAACATGTAAAATCTTGTTCTAACGGCATGGCAAACCTAGGGATTTTGGAAGATGGCAGACCTGTTTCCTCCAATGAAGCAGCATACCATTCTCGGAAAGGGAATTACTTTTTTTGTGTGTGTGTGTGTGTGAGACAGTCTCGCTCTGTTGCCCAGGCTGCCAGGCTGGTGTGCACTGCACAATCTGGGCTCACTGCAACCTCCGCCTCCTGGGTTCAAGCGATTCTCCTACTTCAGCCACCCAAGTAGGTGGGACTACAGGTGCATACCACCATGCCTGGATAATTTTTGTATTTTTAGTAGAGATGGAGTTTCGCCATGTTGGCCAGGCTGGTCTCAAAATCCTGACCTCAGGTGATCCACCCACCTCAGCCTCCCAAAGTGCTGGGATTACAGGTGTGAGCCACCACGCCCGGCTTAGAACATTACTTTTAACCCACTAATTCTTGGATTCCTGAACTTGGTTCTATGTACACTCATGAACATACACCTACAAACAAGGGAGTAACCAAAGCCACTGAATATATACAGGAGCAACATTTTTGGAGTATCAATTTAATCAAGGATTGTAGTACAATCAGATGTACTTTTGTTAAAATAAACACAAATATATTACAGGTTGAGCATCCCTAATCTGAAAATCCAAAATCCTCCAAAATCTGAAACTCTTTGAGTGCCAACATGACACCTCAAATGGAAAATTCCACACGTGACACCTTTGCTTCTGATGGTTCTCATCAGAAACATTGTTTATTTCATGAACAAAATTATTTAAAATAGTGTATAAAACTGTTCGGTTGTGGTAGCTCATGCCTGTAATCCTAACACTTTGGGAGATCGAGATGGGAGGATCACTTGAGCCCTGGAGTTCAAGACCGGCCTGGGCAACATAGTAACACCCTATCTCTGAAAAAAAAAAAAGAATTAAGGCCAGGTGCAGTGACTCAGGCCTGTAATCCCAACACT